AAGGAGAAAGGAAAGAAGGGAAAGGAAAAATTATGAGAAAAGAAAAAAAAATGGAAACGAAGTCTATGTAAATAGGGAAGGGTGGAGGGGGTGAAGGGAACACAGGTTATGAGGAAAAAAATAAGAACCAAGATACATCATGTACAGGCACAAACACCCAATGATAAATGTAAACGTATTGTATACCTAAAATGTAGCAACAAAAGAATTTTTAAAAAAAGAAGAAGAAGGGAAGGGAAGTTTGTGCAGCGGTGCCTGCAGAAGTTCAGAGGTACAAGGACTTCCCCAAGACCACACAGCAAATGTGCACGTGCTGAAAGGTGTGAAGCTGGCACTGCTGCCTGGAAAAGGCTGACTCTCAAGGGAGATGGCTGCTGGCGCTCGATGTCCAGAGCAGCGCCGGGGGGAGGCTGTCTCCTTGGCTCCTTTCAGGGGGCAAAGGGTAAGTCACTTCTTGCCAACACCTCCTCCGGAACTCCAACTCCCATCTCAAGGTAGGAGGGGCTGACCGAGGACTCAAAGAGGAAAATGGGATGGGGCTCAGGATGAGAGCTTCAGAGAGGGCTTCTTAGTAGGTGCCCAGTGAGAGATGAGTGGGGCTTAATGCTGGGGCACATGTAGGGCGAGGTTAGTGAGGAGATGGAGGCTCAGTGGGCGGGTAGGTCATGGCGGGTGTGTGTGTGTGTGTGTGTGTGTGTGTGGTGTGTGTGTGTGTGTGTGAGAGTGACCTCCCAATCCAGGATTCTGAGGCCTGCAGAGGGAGTGAGGCCCAGGAGGGGTGAGGTCTCCGAAGGAGAAGGAACTCAGGAAGGGCACAGAGGTCCTGCGTGGCCGGGACCGCAGCCTGCACAGACAGCTCCTAGGGCGCCGGCGCCCCTCCTCCCCAGCCCCCGTGTCACCCCCGCCCCGGCTGCGGCGCAGGCGCGAGCCCAGCCTGCTTTTGCTCTGCTCCAGCTCTAGCTGCACTTCGCCCGGCGGAGACCGCAGGCAGATCGGTGAGCTCGGCCCCTGCCCTACGCGAGGCACCACCCCTGCCCGGCGTCTCCGGGGTTTCGAGGAACCCACCCTCTAGCCGGGTCCCCAGCTCCAGCTGCGTCCCGCCAGGGCAGCCTCGGGTTTTGGGAAGTGAGGGTCCCCAGGAAGCAGCGGGGCAGAGAGAGCCCCAGGCCCGTCGCCCCTCCGCACCTCGAGATTGATGGGCCGGGCTGAGGCTTCAGAGGACGAGATCCTCCACGCCTCCCTGAAAACCTGTTCCTGTTCCACTTTGCCTCAATTTCCCTCTAGTGGAAAGGACGCAGTTAATTTCACTCGGGGATAGGATGGTTGAGTCTGAAAGAGGGGTGCTTTGGGGGACCTGATTTCCCTAGCGGGAGGGCTGGGTAGCGAGGGGCGTGGAAGAGGTGGACCCGGTGGTCTGGGCAGGAGAAGTGAGGCCACGCAGGGCCACAGGTTCCGGGCGTCTTCACTCTCGGGCTCGTCCATCGGCGCAGGCTTCTCTCGCCTTGCCTCAGCTGCAGCCCCCCGCCCCCGACACGCAGTCCCCTCCTCTCTCCACTTCCTCCCCCCAAGTTCCTCCCCTCCTCGGCTGGAGCCACCACCCTGCGGTTCCCATGGTAACCCCGAGGGTCCGGCTTCCTCTCCTGAGAGACTTCTTCCCGGGGACCAAGACTGGGGGGAGGGGCAGCCGGAGGGGGAGGCACCGTCAGGGTCACCTTGCTTCTCCAGTAACGGGGGATTGAGTGATTACATACATTTAGGGGGCGGAAGAAGCAGTGAATTAAAGGGGAGGTACTGGCCTGGGTCCCCTCCCCGCACTCACGTGGGGCTCTATGAATGGTCTTTGCCCAGAGGCCCCGACAGCTGCCCCCCCCCCCCCCCCGCCATCCCCATTAATTCTCCCCACCCTGCCTCTCCCGGGCGGGCGGGCCAGGCGCTGGCCACGCCTCCCCCCGCAGGCTCCGCCTCTCCACACCTTCTGTCTCTCCTGCCTCCGTCACTATTATGCTTTTGGCCTCTGCTATTTCCCGTTCTGTCACTTTATTTTCCTTTTTTCCCTTCTTTCCTCTGAACTGTAAATGAGGATGGACAGTTGCGACCTGTGGACAGGCCCATTGACAGCGATCCTGTGCGCTGTGTGGCTCTGTGGGCTCTCCAAAAAGCAACCCCAGCTGCACATTTGAAGGTCGCACCAGACGTAGTGAGGGCGCCAGAGATCTTCAGAACTAGCACTATTTAATTTTGTTTGAGGCGCCTGGAAGGGGCTGAAGGTCATCTGGGGGAGGAAAGGCAGAAGCCCAGTTTCCCGGAGCACTCTGCATACTGGCTTTAGCCCTCCTTGTGTGTGGACCCTCAGGTTCCTTCCATTCTCATGGCCTCAGTGTCCCCTCGGTGAAAAGAGGGTTTGTTGTTGGTTCTTTTGGGGGGAGAGGGGGATCTTTTTTTGATACTGGAGATTAAACCCAATGCCTTCACGGTGAGCTACATTCTCAGCCCTTTTTATTATTTTTTAATTTGAGATGGGGGTCTCATTAAGCCACTAATTTCCCCGAGCTGGGTTTGAACTTGCTATCTTCCTGCCTCACACTCTGAGAGCGCTGAGATTACAAGTATGTATCACTATGCCCAGCCAAGAGGGTTCTGAAATAGGTTTTTCTGGACAACAGCCCTTCTCCAACAGCCCTGTTCTCCAACAGCCCTTGAGCCTAAAGAGCTAATCCTGAGCTTCACTTCCTGTGGAACCCAAATTCCTTGGACCCCAACGGCTGAGCAGTGCAGACCTGTGGAGGAACCTTCCAGGGCTTTGCAGCTTGTGTCACTGGTGCCAACCAAAAGAGTTACTCTCAGGTGGGGGCTGAAGGAGAGTGAGGCTTTGAGGAGAGGGGAAACTCTCACTCTAGGGATGGACCACCACAAGTTCAGGATGGAAATAGTAACGAAGAAATTACAGTCATAATCATAACAGCTGCCATTTCTCGGCACCAGATACAATAGCTGAATGAAACAGACATCATTAATATCCCTATTTTACAGGCAAGAAAATTGAGGCTTAGAGAAGTGAAAGTATGTGTTTTGAGGTCACACAGGAAGGAAGTGGTAGCCTGGGGTCAAACTATGAAGTCAGGCTACAGAGCCCACAGTCTCCGGTGTGAACTTGCACAGACTGACACCACAGTGGCAGGAGCCAAGCTAAGCAGCCAGACCATGGGCTCCTTCCAAGTCCTTAGGGGAAGAGGCTGTGCTGTGCTGTGAGGGTGGGAGGGTAAGGGGGCCCCAAATGTGGGGCAGCTCTGAGGTCCCCTCCCCCTGTCAGCTGCACCTTGGCTGCCCACAGGGACTCACCATGCTGGGCTGCAACCCCTGCAGCTGTGTAACCACCGTGGAGGAAAGCAAGTGGTATGGAGTCCACTCCTACCTGTACCTCTTCTACGAAGACTGCACTGGCATGGCTCTCAGTGATGACCCTGAAGGACCCCCAGTCCTGTGTCCCCACCAACTCTGGCCCTCACTGTGCTGGAAGGTAAGGTTAGAAGAGCAACTCCTGGGATTCCTGTGGCTGCAGGGAGGAGATGGGACTGAATTGGACATTCAGAGGCTTGAAAGTAAAGGGATGGGCCGAGGATGTAGCTCAGTGGCTCTGCGCCTGCCTGGCAAGCACAAGGTCCTGAGTTTGATTCCTGATACCAAAAAAAAAAAAAAAGAAAAGTAAAGGGACGAACTCAAATAGGTTTAAACCATAAAAGGAAAATGCTGCTCATCTTCTATAAGAGACCAGTGTTCAGTACCTTCAGGAAAATTTAACCCAGTAGTTCCAACCACTACACTGAGGACTTTGCAAGTTTTCTCTTAGACTTCAGGCTCTCCATGGTGCCCCTATTCTTACAGCACAACAGCTTCAAGCTCTCCCTACGCATTCCTCAAATGGCTGCTACTGTGCCAACCCTCAGACCTTTAAGGGAAGTTGGTTTTCTCCATTACTTCCTTCAGAAAAGATGCAGAATAGCCAGAAATAAAAAACACATCACTGTTTATGTCTGCACACACACCCCCAAAGGTAGAAATAGATTTCACAAAGTATGTACAGACAGGACGTCTCAATATTGCCAAGACATAATTCTTTCCTCATTGATCTACAGATTCAATGCAATCCCAATAAAAATTCCAGCAAGTTATTTTATGGATGTCAACAAACTGATTCTACAGTTTATAAGGAGAAGTAAAAGATCCAGAAGAGCTAGAAGTTAAAAAATAGGTTGCTGTTTACAAGTATGCTTAACTCACAGCAGCACAGCTGAACTAATCATACAGGAGGGAGGAACACACTAGGCAGTGAGTTCACCTCTCTTAAATCTTGCTATGGTTTCCCAGTGATACATTCAGGTGCCATTGCAGTGAGCAGAAAGACCTGAGAGAAACAAACAATTCTTGTCCCTAACAGCCAGGGGAAGTTGTCAGCCCACAGTTCCTATGTTGGGCACAGTTTCTTGCTGAATATTGCAGAGAAACTGAGGCAGGGGTCCCTCCTTCTGCTTTCTAGTGGGGAGGCTGGGTGTAGAGGTGCCAGCCTACACTATCTCAGGCCAGGCTTGCAGAGGATGCCAAGAAAGGAAGTGGTCTCAGGCCCTGGGGTGGTCAGGGAAGACCCCCAGGACAAGGGGAGTACGTGTTTAAACCTTTTAAGCATCTTTTTACTGTCAGGCACTGTGCTAGACTCTTGGGGACAAAGAATTTAAGAAGACATGGTCCTTGCTGTAGAAGAACTCCTAGGTATGGTCATTTAGTCACCAGTATTCTGCCTCTGCCCTGTGCCAGCACTGTGTCAGGCACAAAGACACTGAGTAAGCCCCCAACAGGCACAATCTCTGCTCTTAAAGGCCCTCTGTCTGGTGGAACAGGCTGCCATCACTTAGGCAGGAACGCTAACCCAGGTCTGAGTGTGCACAAAGGTGGGTGCTCTACAGAGCAAATGGGAGCAGAGTTTGTGCAGAGACCTCAGCAGGACGCCTGCGCCAGGCCCGGGTGTCCTGGTAGGTTTCTAAGGAGAGGGGAGGTTTGAGATGAGACTGAGGATGCACAGACATTGACCTGGCAGAGAGATAGAGGGTAGAAAGGACAAGGGGCTAAGATGGGAGCCAAGTAATGATGGAGGAGAACTCAGGCTTGGCCAGGTGGGAGCTGGAAAGGAAATCCATCAGGAGACCTCAGGATTCCAAATAGGACAGGATGGCTAATGCTGTCAGATCCCACAGTGCATCCTCGGATCCCATCTCGCAAGGTGGGGATCCAGCCGGGATCCCAGGTGATCGGGACTGCTTCTCCCCAGATCTGCCTGTCCTCAGGGACCCTGCTTCTGCTGCTGGGGATAGCAGCTCTGACCACTGGCTATGTGGTGCCCCCCAAGTTGGAGACCGTCAACAATACTGACTTGCCGCTGCTAGATGAGCGGGCAGCCAACTACAACAAGGCCCTGAGCACCTGCCGCCTGGCAGGCACAGCACTCTGTGGGGCAGCTGGGATCCTGCTGACCATCTGCCTCTTGTGGGCCATGTCAGGATGGCTGAACCCAGACGCCAAGGCAGAGCCCTTGGACACTGAAGCTGATAGCCATGTGGAGGTCTTCAGGGATGAGCCAGGGCAGCAGCTGTCCCCCACCTTCTGCAATACCAGTGGTCAGTCATGGTTCTTGACCTCCTTTGGGCACTCCTCTGTTCAGATCATCCAGCCCAAGAGGGACTCCTGAGTGCTCCTGTGGCAGCTCAAGGAGAGCTGGACCCCTTCTCCTCCCCAGCACACCTCGCCTTCCCATTGTCTCCCAACTTCTCCCTCTTAGCAGGGCCCCTTCTTCCCAAGCCCCCAGAAGGCCCAGCTCCAGGTCAAGTCTAGAGCTCAGGTCCCCACACCCCTTCCCCAGGCACAGGGCCCCAACTCTTCCTCCATGACACCCTAGCTCAAGCCCTCCTGCCCCTCCTCCCCAGGGCCCTTTAGGGGCAGAAGACATTTCCCTCAACCTCTCCCCACTCTCCTCTCTCTGACCTTGGGCCATCCCCTTGTCCTTCAGACCATCACTTCCTGCCTCTTTGACTTCAGACCAGATCCTAAAGTTCTGTGCTCTTCCTACGCTCCCCGGATATGAGAGCTGCCCTCCACAAAAGGAGGGCTCTCATTCCCCAAGACGCCCCCCAAGATGATGTGAAAACATTTGCCCCACACCGTGGTTCCTACCTGCATTTTGGCACCAGAGCCCCCCCCCCCAGCCCACCCATCACGGGCAATGATCACCCCATTTGCAGACCAGGAGGCTGAGGCAGGCTGAGAGAGGTGAGTCCAGCGTCAGTCACAGAGCAAGTCCGTGTATAGGAACTGGAACCCACCTGGGCCAGCTCTGGTTCTGCAGCTGGAGCAGAGCCCCACACCTTCCTGGTTCACAGTAGGGTCTCGGGGGTAAGGACAGGCTTGGCCCAGCCCATGTGAGCTGGATGCCTACTGGTCCCAGATGGCTACTTTAAATGATCTCTAAGAGCCAGGGGACAGGAGAAGTGGGATGTCTTTGCCCTCGCAAAATCCACCCTTTAGGCAGCCGTGACCAACTGACCGGATCCCGCTGACAAAGGCGCCCTCCTGGAAGCACAGCCCCTCCCTCTGCCAGGCTCCCCGCCAGAACCGTCATCTCTTCCTCTGCCACTAGAGGGCGCCCCCAGCCCGCTGAAGAGACGCGCTCCGGGACGCTGCACTCCCTACCCACCTCGGTCGGGCCAGCCTGCGGGCCCAGGGGAGCCCTTGTGCCCCCTCCCCGACCCCGCCTCATCCATCAGATCCCTTTCAATAAACAGCTGGGACGGACGTCGCCGTGGCTTCCATTCTAGGGATCACTGGAACCTGGGGAAAGAGGGGAGAGGCTGTTGGGAGCGTCTGCTGCATGCCGTGCCAGACTCTTAAATTCCTTATTCTCATTTGGTCCTGAGGATAACTATTTGAGAAAGGGATTCTTTCCTTCATTTTACAGGTTCTAAGAGTCAGAGAGGTGAAGAAGTCACTTGCCCAAGGCAGCCGGAGTGGATTTAAATGCTGGCCTCCTTGGTCTTGGTTGAGTGTAGACTTCTCGGCTTGGGAGGGAGGGAAACACCTCATCCCCAGGGAATGTGGGGCGGAGAGGCTGGAGCCATAAGAACTGCCCTGTGCTCTCTGAGCTTTCCAGATCTGAATTCACCTCACCCTGACGCCAACCGGGCCTGGAAAGGACCATTATTCCCAGACCTGGCTCCGGAGCGCCATTCGTGTATTTCCAACTGCTTTTCCTGGAGGTTGAATTTCGACTGAACCATCCCAAATCATCCTCCCACCCCTGCCCCGTCTTAGGGAGCGGCCCCTCCATCCTCCTGGTTGCTCCTCCAAAACCTGGGAGCAACCTTTTGTTACTCCTTGACTCCTTTTCCTCACGCCCTGAATCCAATGCACCACTAAGAACCAACTTTGGACACATATCCTGAGCTGAGCCACCGTCACCTCTCATGTAGGTTATGTCAAGAGCATCTCCCTGGATTCCACCTTCCACACCTGACACACCTCCCCAGGTCTCATCCCATCCAGCAGCCAGATCCAGTGAGGACACAGGTCAAGTTCCTCCTCTGAATTAGGAGCAGGGCAGAGTGATGCATGCCTGTATTTCCAGCACTCAGGAGGCTGAGTCAGGAGGAGGACCATGAGTTCCAGGCCAGTGTGCGCTACATAGTGAGATCCTGTCTCAACAAAATAAAACCACAGTAATAAGCATCATAGGAAAAATCCACTAATGAATGACAAAATGAGTAAAGTTCAGATGAAACGGGATATCTGTGTAACATCAAGGCATCTCCCACAAATGTGCGGTCGTTGCTGTGGTGGTTCTAACATCTGGGTGTCAATTCTTTGATGCTCTGCCCTCTGGGAAGAGGCTTCATTGTTTCCTCCTTGAAATGGGGATTGACTTGGCCACTTGCTTCTGACACATAGAGCTCTGAAAGCAAAAATAATGACTTCATGGTGGAAAAGTGTACAGACAGCACCTTAGCCAAGTGATCAGGGTTCACATCTGCAGGGCCAGTGTTCTTATCAAGCCCTCCAGAATGAAGGGCGAGAAGGGCAAGTCACCTGGCTGGTCTCGTTCCCATCCATAACTTCAGCCTAAGCAGGAAATGTGTCCTGAGGAAGATCTGCCCAGCACTCCCCAAAATCCTCCCTGTCAAGGGCTGGGGTGTGGCTCAGGGGCAGAGAGTGTGCTTAGCATGCATCAGGCATGGGGTTCAGTCCCAGCACCAAAGTCCAGGTCACAAAAATCAAGGGAAGAACAAGATACCCCCTGAGGTTTGAGGAGACTAAGGAGACCTGGCTAAAGGTTATACAGCAACTCTTCTCTAAGACTAACATTTCAAACTAAAAAGTTTTAAGCCAGCTGTCATGGTACATGCCTGCAATGGTACATGGTACATGCCTGTCCTCTGGGAGGCTGAGGCAGGAGGATTGCAAGTTTAAACCCAGCCAGGGCAACTTAGCAACTTGGTGAGATTTTTGTCTCAAAATAAAAAGGGTTTGTAGCTCAGTATGAAGACCTGGGTTCAATCCCCAGTACCCCCACACACAACCAATAAGGCAATGGAGGATTCAAACAACACTACCAAATGCTCCAATCTAGGTGACATGGACAGAGCACTGCAGACAACAGCAGGGTACACAGGACCTCTGGCCCTGGTGGCTCCAGGAGACCAGAGAGCCAGATGGGAGACTAAGTGGACAGGGAGCCCAAGGTGGTCTCAGTGTGCCCTCTGGTGGTGGCAGCTTGGTCTTTGACAGTGTCCCTGACAGAGGGAAGCTGTTTCCTCGCCTACCCATTTTCTTCTCTGAGGGGCAGGAGGGGGGGGTGCAGGAGGAAGACTGACCAGTGGGATATACCTTCTGCTCCCCCTCTTTTATGCAAGAGCCTGAGCGCCCCACCCCCTCACCACCGAAGAGGCTGTCCCAGCCCCTGCTGGGTCTTGCATACCCTGACCCCCTTCCCAAAGGGATGAGGTTCTTTCTACCAAAGAAAGGGTGATCTGGGGCCACTGCTTGGCCTCTAGTGGTGGGGGTGGGGCAGGGGCGGGGGGGAGCTGTGACACACACACACACCCAGGGATGAGGGAGAGAAACCAAGGGATGTTCACAGACTCCAGGAGGTGTCAGTGGGAGGTGGGGTGAGAGCGAGCTGGCTGGGAGATCAGAGGTGGTTGGGAGTTCTCATGGCCCAGAATCTCCATCCCCAATCTCCTACCTCATCCCTGCTGAGAGGGAATCAGTCTGGCACGGTTCATGGCATTGTGTGAGCCTCAGAAATCTCTTAACCTCTCTGAGTCTCAGCTTGCTGTCTTTCTTTCTTTCTCTTTTTTCTTTCTTTCTCTTTCTTTCTTTCTTTCTTTCTCTCCTTCTCTTTCTTTCTTTCCTTCTTTCTCTTTCTTTACTTCTTTACTTCTTTCCTTCTTTTGTTTGTTTGAGACAGGGTCTTGCTACATAGTTTAGCCTGGACTTGAATTCACTATATAGCCCAGACTGGCCTTGAACTCCAGGAGATCCTCCTGCTAGTACTGGGATTACAGGTGTGTGGCACCACACATAGCCTTTTTTTTCCCCCTACTGGAGATTGAACCCAAGGCCTCCACAGTGAGGTGCATCCCTAGCCCTTTTTATTTTTTATTTAGAGGCGGGAAGGAACTTATGTTACTCAGGTGGGGCTGAAACTTGCTATCCTCCTGCATCAGCCTCCCAGAGAGCTTTCGTTTTGTTTTTTGGTCTCTACAATAGACAAACATGGCAGTCTCTTGAGACTGTTTGAAGAGCTCATGGGCATAGCACCTGGCACACACACATGCCCATGACCACTAGCTAATAGGAAAAAGCACAGAGATTATAAACAGGCAACACACAGGTTAGAACTAAAGGTGACTCAGAGGAGACCCTGCCCTCCAGGATCTCACACCCCAGTGGACAGGACAGTCCTGCTGAGAGATGATGGCACTATTCCAGGATAAGCACTGTAATCGAAGAGCAACGTGATGTCATTCCACAGGGGACAGACGTGGAGATTCAGAGAGCAGCACATAGCAGTGGTTCTCTCTGGGTTTCAGGGCCAGGCTGTGTCCTCAATACTTTATGCACATTTCAGTCCTTATATGATCCTAAGGTGTGTGGCACTGTCTCTAGTTCTCCAATTCACAGACAAGGAAACAGAGTGTGGGGTGTTCAAGCCTCCTGTCTGAGATAGCACAGCTAGCAGAGTTGAAATCTGAACCCAAGCCGTGCATGTCCAGAATGCCCAGACTTTCTCACATGCACAGATGCAGAAATGACCCAGAGTCCACAACTAACCAACCTGATATGGAAGGGGGCATAGGTCCAGCCTCTCACACGGCCCCAACAGACACCAGTAGCAAGTGATCGAAACTCCTACTGTGACAGGTGCTGGGAAGACCCCCTGGGACAGCACCCCTGGAATGGTGTGCTGTGTTGGAAAGGAATAGTCAGCCATGTGAGTTCAGACAAGTGCTTGAACAAGCATGTCCCAGGCTGGGTACACATCAATATGCACTCACATGTGTACCATCAGAAAGTGATTATGATGAGGTCTGTAGACACACTCACTGTGCATTTGTACTTGCTCTCCAACTATTTTTTTCTTTTTAACAGCTACATTTATTGAACACTTACTATATGCAAATAAAGCTAAGCTCAGAGAAGTGACGTGTTTGCCCACAGTCACACAGCTAGGAGATGGCAGTGGTGTCTGCCAGTGTAGACAAATCTGGGAATGAACAGATGTGCCATGGCTCGATTTCCATGTTGATTTGCCCTGTGGCCTCGGGCTTGTCCTGTCTCTGTCCAGGCCATATTCTCATGTGAGCCTGTTACAGGTGTGCTCTGGATGTGTATAGTAATGTAACCAGCAGACTTGGCCGCTTCTCAACTCTCAGCCAGGGTTACTGTCAGCAAGGTTGTGAATTTCCTGTCCCAACCTCACCAAAGCCAAGCTCTGTGCACCAGGCCATCAGGGACCTGGAGAAGGAAGAACTCACAAGCTTTCATAAGCATCTGGCCCAGAACACATGGTCAGGACAGGGAGAAGGAGGGAGATGTCCCAGGATGTCCTCTGGGCTGCACACCCAGGCAGGGTCCAAGACCTTGTTGGCAGGGGAAGAGCTCTCACTGCCAGGACTTGGATCCAATGCAGCAGATGTGTGATGGGGTGAGTGGGGGACCAGAAGCAAAGCCAGCTCCAGGAGGCCCTGAATGAGCAAGCAAGTGACTGCAGTGACTGAGAAAGGGAAGAAGGGCCGGGGATTTAGCTCAGTGGTTTCACTGCCTGCTGCGCAAGCGCAAGGACCCAAGTTTGATCCCTGGCACCAAAAAAAAAAAAAAAGAAAGGGAAGGAGAGAGGGAAGGAAGGAAGGAAAAAATAAATAAATGAATGTTGAAATTGATATAGAGGTAATAGATGTAGCTCCCAAACCTGCTAGATATCCAAAACACAAGTTCGTGTTCTCTAAAATTGAAGAATGAATTCTAGGAACAACAGAAGTTAAGAGTAGGAAAAATTTATAGACAGACAGATATCTTCTGTCTAAGAGAGAGACAGAAAGGGGACTGGAAAATGGGTTGCCCGCCCAAACTGCTACTCAAAGGTGTTTTATGGGACAAAGCCACAAGATTATACGGGTACAAAGTGGGACAAAACTGGTCAACTAGTAGGGCCAGGAATTTAGCTCAGTGGTGCCTTGTCTGCCTTGAAAATGCAAGGTCCTCAGTTCGATCCCCAATACTG